AAACAGAACAAAAGGACAGTATGATCTACTAAAGGAGGAAAAAACATAAAACAAAACATCCAAACACAAAACCAAAACATAAAAAACCCACCAACAAACACAAACCCAGAAGTACTTCCCACAGCAATCAAGAAATCATTGTGAACTTTTGTGCACCTAAAATCCTCATATATTTTTCAGATTGCTCAAACTGGGTTTTGATGATACATCATCTACCTTTCCTGTCATTTCAGATTGAAGTGTGAAATAGAAAGGGCATTTTTGTTAAAATATTCAACATAAGTCTTGTTTTTAAGTTGGATACTGCAATCAGAAATGGGAATATATTATATTCCTTTAAAGGCAATTACCTTGCTTACTGTAAACAGTGCATTTGGCATACTACATTAGAACATGCAGAAATACTCAAACCAAATCCATGTATTTTCAAGTATGAAGCAACATATTTAATCTCCCACCTCTGCATTTACACAAATTTGTTCTATTGTATGTATAAAAACCTTACACTTGCCCCTGAAAGATTTTAAATCAACTCAGTTCAAGTCTCTGTGCCAGACCTCTTTCTGCCAAGAACCTGGAGTTTCCTTTCTGGCTGCAAATAATTATTCTGTTCCTGTAGAGAAAGATGTAAAACCATGCTGTTCTCCATTTATATTTATCTTTAGAAATTTCATGGGGACCTTAGGGGAAAACTTTCCATTCAGTTTATCTCTGGAGCTTCCTGAACTGACAGTTCAGACATCAATTTGTCTCTAATACTCCTAATTTCTGATCTTTTTTCCTCCCTCTCTTGGAAAAGCTCAGCAATTCATAGAAAAATCTTACCAGCTATTTTCAATCCAACTACTTTTGTTTTCTGAGTTTCAGTCCTGCTCCTCTCCTATTCTAAACCATGTGACATGGCAATGCAACCAAATCTCCACACTAAAGGACAGCAAAGTCTCCTGAAGAGCATTTGGCCTAACACACTCCCCCACCTCTGCAGGAGAGGAAAAACATTTAAGTATAGGTGAAAAGGCACTGTTGGAATAAGATTTGCCACTGAAAGGATCAGAAAATAGATCTGTCTTAGCAGTGGAGCTTATCTCTCAAGGTACAGAGCCACCATGCCCCTCTGATTACCTGCTAAGACTTTTTAGAGCATGCAAACTTCAGCAAGGCTAATCACAAAGGGCAGCTGATAGTTCTCACTCCCAACAGGGAAGGTGGGTAATAGATCCCCTCTGGAGAGCCCTTTCCTGGGATCCAAAGGGCCAGGGTCCCCAGGAACCAACATGACAGGCTTCTAGCCATGGACACGAGTAGCTGTGGGACTTCTCATGAATGCCAGGACTTCAGCAAAGAACAGACAAGTTTGGTCACTCCTGCTTTTGCAAATCTCCACACTGTGACACACACCTGCTCTGAGTGGCAAAGGTGACCAAAGTGACCACCAGGTTTGTCACTTCTAATTTAAAAGCTTTATGCTACACACAATTACCCCAAGGCAGTAAAACATGATCTATTTCAATTTAGATTTGATCTGCTCTTTCATGCAGGCACAAAGCATATTGTAGCTTTTAATCAATTAGTCCTAGGATCATTGAATTATTTAGGTTAGAAAGGCCTTTAATGTCATCAAGTCCAACCATAAACCTAACACTGCCAATTCCACTACTAAACTATGTCTCCAAGTGCCACATCTACACATCTTTTAAATATTTCACATTAAATTGAGCACAGTCAAGCAGCAAGATCTTAATTAGCAGCTCCATTAATATCTATGCTGTGAGTATGGTCACATACAAGAAAAAAAAATTACCACTGTGCATATTTCATCTGTACTTTGTGAACTAAGCATAAAATCTGGGGGCATCCCAATGTCCTTCAACAACTTTACAAGTCAGGCAAGTTGCACAAAGTTCAACTATTTACAAAGCTCTTAGGTATACAGAGCCATCTATTTCTAGCCAAGCTACAGAACACAAATGTCATAGATCCTGAAATTATTTCATTTGTCAACATCAACCTATTCTTTGCCCATCGGAGCTGAGTTATTTTAGCAGCACTTTTTCAGAACACCTGAGCCAGCAGATGCTCTAGGCTATTCAGAAACAACTAGAGAAATGCAGCCTTCAAATGTCAGAAAGCCCAGAAATCCTTGGTTGGTGACAAGACCCAATGTATTTCTCATAAACTGAATAATGAAACAAGGTCATAGCTAAAAATATACCCAGGGTCTCAAAGCAGGGTAGGGATGGCCGGGAGCCAATTTCCACGGTGTCAGAACTGGGCAATCTCACTCCCTCAGCTGGCCACGTACACCTGTACAAACTGTGGCTGCCCTACAAGCACATACTAAACCACTGGAAGTTCTGTATGCCCTCTTCTCACCTCCAGGAGGACACAGCATCACAACAAAAGCACAAGGAGGAGCTCTCAGCAGCCTCTACAATAACTCTGCATCAGGTCTGTAACATCCTTCCTGCTCCCCCAGCAAAACAAGCAGGTAATGCAATCTAAGTCACAGGAAAAGCTGGAACACAATGAGACAAACCAGCTTGTGATGGCATCATTTCAGAAAACATGCTTTACTGCAATTGATGAACAACATGGGGTTCTGCCTGTCATCTTCTTCAAGGAGAAAGCAGAGAGTTTATCCAAAACCAGGATTAAAGCCCAGCTCTCTGCAGTATTATTTTAACACTTTAATAACAGCACCAAGGCAGCAAACAAAAATCCCCTACTAACTTAAGCAGGAACAAAACTGGATCTTCTTGTAAAGTAGTCAGCATTGCAAAAATAAGACTTATGCAACACAGCCTCATTCTTTTCTCCTTTTTGAAGAGTTACATCAAGTATAATTTAGCTATCATATTACACTATTTAATAAGCAAGACCTCAGTTTTGCAGTTATAGCCTGCACTGCTCAGCTGAAGTTTGCTTATTCTATAAAGTGTTTGCTAGAAAAGCATATTTTCATTTAATTCATGCTAACATCCTTAAAACCAAAGGTCAAAAACAAGGAAACAACAGCTTAACTGTAGTTAAGTAGGTCTTGGATGGAACCCAGAGTTGACAAGAACCAGAATCTTCACAAAAGTAACAGATACTTCAGCTTTTGCATTCTATTTAATTAAACACGATTTTTATGAGAATCAGTTTACATAGAAAGATTTTTTAAAAACTGAACCTGATTTTGAATAAAACCTGAATCAAACAAAGTGTTTGATCAGATCTTCAGCTAATGTATTTTTAAGCTGTAAAAACATTTGTTTGCATATGAATGAATATTTGTACTGCAGATGTTCCACACCTGTTTGCATTTTGCAGAAGGACAGTTGCTTTTACATGTTTTTATCTCAATCACAGCACAGAGAAAACTCAGATCTAGAACTCCTCTCTCATTTCAGGGCAATTATGATTGAAGTCCACATCATGTGGTTTTCTTCTTCTTCATTCAAAGCAAACACTTTTTTCTTTTTCAATTTTGTTATAGGTCTTCAAAGTAGAATAGCTTGTCATAGACTTTTAAATTCTCCTGTACTGACTTAGAATCAGTGACAGCAAGATTTACTGCATAAAACAAAACTTGATTTCTGTATAAGCATTAAGGGAAATTATAGTTTTATTTTACTGCATCATCAAGGAAGTGTTTACACTTAAAATCAACATTATATTACTTTTCACCCTTTGGATGACAAGTCAATTACCTCTTGTCCCCTTTCACCTCTCATTTCCCTCACCAGCAGTTCTTTGAAACTTTTAATACAATATTTTTCTAATATTTCACTTGTGAATCTCAAGTTCAGGTTGCAATCTCAGCACAAGCAGCAGCTCTGCCTGAGCACTCCCATACATTTTTTCTTCCTTCCCACAGTCACTCCCTGTATTACCAAATGTAATGGATGTTTGACAGCTACCTTGAAGGACTACATAACCAAAACGTAGCTCAAAAATCCAAACAAACCAAAACCAAACAAAGTTTAGAAATAAAGAAACATGATAACAAGAACTGTCCTTCTCCTCATAACGAGAAACAATTACAGAAACACAATCAATGCAGGATGCTGACCATAACAGGCAGGAATAATATTGTCCAGGGGGGTGCCAAGAATCACTTGGAACAAGCCATTTTTGCTTCTTGGCAGAACCACCCTTTAAGAAAAAAGGCCATGCCTACAATCAGCAACTTCCCAGAGATGACTTGTGGTGGTAGCTATCCAGATTACCTCTGCGTGGACCCAATCCAAAGCTCATTACTGGCAACAGGCTTTTGAAACAGCCCTGTTACATTTTTTTTCCACAATGGAAAAACACTGTGTTTAATTGATAGACTGGAAAGAATCTTCAACACTTTGAAGTCCGGGATTAACAAGAGAAAAGGACATAATGTTTGCCTTTGGCTTGGCAAGCAATACCTTGGGAAAAAAAAACCTCTGTGATGTAAAAATGATGCAATTTATATAGTGCTCAATATAGTGAAGGTACATCAGAACATACATTTACAATTAAAGGTATGGAGATAGCAAAATTGCCAGTTGCTCCATTTTAGCAATACAATTTAGTTAGATTTTACCAACAAATCTTTTAAGGAGAAGCAAAAATGGAGTTGAAAAAATGAAACATTGTAATTAAAACAATTTAATCTGAATTTATTTTAGCAGCATCCTTACAATTGTGTACAGACAGCATCAGCAGAATAATTTAATATAAAATAGAATATTCAAAATCCTGTAATTTCACTATTTTATTGTTTTAGGACTACATAATCTATTCAAAACAAACACTGTGATTTTCTTCAGGAAAGTGGCCATATTTGAAGGAACTAGGACTTTCAGTAGCACTTCAGGCACAGGACAGTGGTGGAGTAAGCAGCTGATCCACATAAAAGCTGTTTTGCTTACTTAGTTTTCAGTGGGGTCAAGTCACCGAATTAGTTTGCAGTTTAAACATATCATGTCAGTACAGAGCCAGGAAAAATGTATGACAAAGCTGGGAGTACTGGAGTCTTATACCGGAGTTTCATTTAAACTGAAGTTTCATTATTCAATGTACAAGTAAGTAATATTAAATATAGAGAAGTATTTTCAATTGACACAAAATAATGACTTCAAACCCAAAACATGTCTAAATAAAAATAATATACAAACCCACATCTCAGAAATTAAGGAATTTATCTCCTTCAGGAGGTTGTCTTTCCTGGACAGCATAATCTACAATCAGTGTTGTCATGCAGTGGAGGAAGTAACCGTGCTCCATCACACCCAGCAATCTCTCTCTGCCAAGGGAACCATGTGCATTAGGAAATGCTACCCCCTATCGTCTGACTAGTCTGAACAGCTACATCTCCTTAAAACAATCATTTTCAAGGGTTAACTCTGCTTTTCTTGGAAATTACTACATTAATCATAAGCCTTCTTTTTACTCATCAACTTAGTCCTTCACTACAGCACTTTGACCCTGGCTTTCCCTCTTACTGGTTCCTCCAATAGGAAAGCAAGCCAGAGCCTGAAAAACAATTATTACTTCAAATAACTGTCTTTTTAAAGTTCTGCATAAAAGTTTAAATTCTTTTTTGTCCACTAGTAAGTACTACTTCAAATCCTTACACATTCTTTTACCTGTTGTCTTCCCACTCCCATCCATTTCCAAACCCTGAAAACTATTTCAAAGATTTTATATTTAAATGTCTTTCCTAAAAAGCTGAAGCAGAAGGATCTGAACACATAAAAATGCTATTGCAAAAGAAACTAGACAGTGATCTTTGAGCACACAAAAGGTGTCCCTTCCCCATAAACAAGGAAAAAGAAAAGAGGGAAAGAATATTCTTTCTGCCAGAGTCCCTGCTTAAGAAAAGCTCCAAAACTCACTTTAGGAGTTAAGGATCATGCCAGCAGGATATTAGATTTAAAAGGAAAATTACTTTTTCAGCTTATTCTACATTTAAACTGGTAAGTTAGACTTGGCTTACAGCATATAGAATGAAAGAAACACAAAGGAAGAAGAGAAAGATTGTCAGGACAAAGCACAAAGTATGATACAGTCTGAGGAGCAAGTGGTAGGGAACATCAAGTGGAAAACATGAGGTATAAGACCTTTGTACCCTAATTTAATTTAGAGCTGGAGTTCATGTTAACACCTCTGATTTTCTTTGAAAAGAAACTGAAATTTTAATTCCCCTACAATCTTTTTGCCTTCTAACCTCTGTTTCTAGCTCTTTTGGGTAGAAAACAAGAATTGAGTAGATCTTAGAAAAAAAGCCCCAACCATTTAAGGGTGATTTTGATTAAATACAATACTGATATGTCAGTTTGAGAATGTCCACACTGCAACTTTTATGTATCACTACCTTCAAACAAACAGTGTGACAGGTCTTTTTCAATCACTGCTTAAGGATGGAAGTACTGCAGTGTATTATTGCACTATTTAAGCTTCCCTCAAGCTAGCAGTACAGCTGAAGAATATGACAATGCCCTTCTGACCTTGGTCTGAACACAAGACATTGATGATGTGATGTAATGACAGAATTTGTTTACTGACACCATAATGTAAAGTATGAAATACAGGCTGTCAGAAATACAATCAACAGAATATTCCATCCTTGCCCTCCAGATGATTTCCAAGGCAGGGAGAGTAAACAGCCTTCTCCCAGCTTTCTTAGTTTCCACAGCTGAGAGTGTAGGATGTTTACAGTACCTGTCACTCAGAGCTCCCCAGAACAGACCAAATGTCAGCAGACCTAGCACTGACTTCATCACTGACTGCTGGAAACATGCAGATGTCAAGAAATGGGAGGAAAAAATCCATACCCATGACCATATGAATCCAAATCAGTTTTAAGTCCTTTGTGAACAAGTTGGAGGGTCTAAGAAAGAAGTTCAAAGCTTCAGCATCTCCAGAGGACAGCCAGTATTATTGCCACCATGGTACTGCAAGGCTTACTGCCAGTTCACTCCAAAGTACTCTTGCATGTCCTGAAGTTGAGCCTGCAGAAAACAGAGAATACACCATTTTAATGAGTGCACACTGCAAAAAAATGGTCTTTGCATTCTACAAGTAAGAGCTGTCATGTAATTTCCAAAGCACTGGAAGCTTTTAACACGATTTAAAACTGATATTTAGAGTGCTGGCTCACAGAATGCCTACACTATCTAGCTTATTTTTAATTAACAGAGGAATGACAGTTCAGAAACAGTTTTGAATACTGTGAGGAAAAGAATGCTTTTAAAGATACAGCTTGGTAAATTGAAGAGCTTGATTAAATAACAACATGTGGCTGATAACAGCAGTCTAGGTACATTTGAGATTATACTTTCCACTCAGAAACATTTTAAGTATTCAGTTTCCTTGAAGGCATAATCTCTAAGAGGTAAAAAAGCCCCAAACAAAATAAAGTTAAAAAAAAAGATAATCCAATCAGAAAAAAGAAAAAAATTTCTCACATAGAACAAAAGTCAAAATCCTCAGACGAGAAAAAGATGCCACATAAACAGGTTTAAGTGCAATGTAAGTAAAACTTTGGGACAAGATTATTAATAGTCTGCTTTAAAAAACAATGCACGTGCAAAAAAAAATATTCAAGTGACCAGGGACCTGAATTGTGTTACAAAAACACAGCAATGTACTTCAAAAAAAGTTCATCTACTATTGAAAAGGTAGAGGAGCTTTAGTTGAGTGCACAGCCCATAGAAGGGCTGCCCCAATACCAGTACAGTACTCATCATCACATGAACACCATTTATAGCACAGTACATTGGCCAGCTTTCTGAGGAAACAGCTGCTCTGTGGGCATGAAGTAAGCTTCATTTGGACCAAAGTAACTACACAGTTTTCTCCTCTACCATTATCTACGTATCATTCCAGTGATTCTTAGAATCAGGATAGATATCCAAAAGCCAGTGTCTGGAGGGAATAGATTTGGTCAGGAAACAGAGCAGCAGTAGGAGGGGAAAGAAGGGGACTATGCAATTGTCCATTGCTTGACCATTCATAAGGAGGCCTGGAGATGTGCAGGAGGCTCAAAAGTTGCAATAGATCTGAAGGCACAGATTGTCTTTACTTTCTAGTCTGCTACAAAAGAATACAGACTGCAAGGCCAGAGGTGGCACAAATTTTAAGAACTAAAAGTTTTCTTTCTTGAGCTGTCTGTCCTCAATAAATCATCTGGTCAGCAGTTAAACAACCTATGCTAGTTGTCCACTAGTAAGATGCATTTTTCCTAACTTCACTGCTTTTACATGTCAGTGGGGTCTGTGGGTTGGATCTCTCTGTAGGGCATACAGTAGAAGAGGAAAATCCCTGTCTTCAGTCAAGCAGCCACACCAATCAGATTGCCAGGTAGCCCTGCTAGATAGAAACAGCCTGGCATTGGCTCAATGATGAATCCAGCAGTAGAAACAAAAGCATAAAGTGCAGAAATAAAATCATGGAGCTGTTCTCTCAGAGCAAGGAAAATGGGAACATCTCAGAATAATCAAGGTGTAAACATCTCAGTAAGTAATCTAATCCCAGGTCTTCCTGGAGGCAGAGCCAGTTTTGAAATCCCACATGAACTGCTGCAAGAGACCTTATATCTCTCATTCAAGATTTGCAGATGAAATATGATTTGCAGAAGGCACTTTGGCTCTTTACAAGAGAAAGCTGAAAAATAATATTGTGGTAGTCTCTGATGGAATTTACCACAGTACGCTCAATCTTTAGTTGACAGGTATCTGATATTTCTTTGCTAACAGATCCTATTTTGATCCTGTAAGAGCTATGATGACTATTTTTTATATTTAAAACATCAATCATGACATCATCTTGATGTGCATCTTTTATTAACATTGGTTAGAATTGCTATTTACAATTACTTTTTCAGTACAATTCAAATTTCAGGGCTTAAGATCAGACAGCTGACTTAGAAAATATTAACTTACTTTACATTCTAACATTAGAACAGTTCTTCCAAGTTTAATACCATAGAATTCCATAGAACAATAATTCCATAGAACAAAAAAATGACCCATTTCTAATAATCTAGTATGTCCCCAATACAAAAACCCCACACAACTATGTAAATTCAGAAAGCACTGATATTTTATTTGCTAAAAAGTAAGTAGAAGAAAAAAAACCACCCAAACTGTCTATAACAGGAAAAAATTCTGCTTTCAAAACAAGCCTATGAATTACTGGAGCTGTGGGCCTCATATCTAAGCTGTAATAGGCAACATACTGTCAGCACACAGAGAAGAAAACTTGTCAAGGCAAACAATGCAGTGACAAGGAAATACTCAAAACATGTGAAGCAAAAAGAATCTGGAGTTTCAGAACAAGAAAAAATCAAAATAAAACCTAAGTAACATATTATGGTCTCACAGAATCCTAAACTTCTAAGACTTTTTATATATTCTTCAGCTTTAGCATTTAAATGAATAAGACAAGTGACTTAGGAGTTTAAGTCAGTTTTGCATATATATGTCAGATGTGCCTCTGAAAGGTGCACCAGGTAACTTCAAACAATTCAAGGAAATCTTCTGGCAAGAACTTCATTTATGCTCAACACAGAAATTCCTATTCTAAAGGGCCTACAGTAAAAACAAATGACAGAAGAACATGACAACAATTGAATGATGACTTTAAATACAGGTCCTCTGTATTTCTACTGCTTCTCTATTGAAGCTGCCTTTGACTTCCATATTGTTCCAGGTGGCTCCCTTTTTACCAGTACTTTTGTAGTCAAAGATGCATCTAAGGTGATGTACCTGAGGAGGATAAGAAGCTACACAGATCACGCCCCTTGCCAAGAGAGATGCCTACCACAGTTCCTTGTCTGTGTCTAGGTACCCAGACACAGCAACCTGCCTGCCCCAGCTTCCACTGCAAAGCATGTAGGTGAAAAAGAAATACAGCTGGTGATTGGCCAGCAAGCCTTGCACAAAGCCAGGCTAAAATCCTTCCCCTGAAGGGTCTAAGGGAAGGCACTACTTGCACCAACAGCCACACAAGCAGTCATGGTCTCAGCAAAGCTATCACAAAAGTAAGGATTAAGTACTGAAAAAAGTTTTCTCCCTCAGATCTCCAAGAGGCAAGGTGTTAGTGACATAGCCATTTACCTGATGCTAAAACCTGTTTTGTCCCTCCCTTGTCTTCACTCTCCTACACTTAAGGGATGTGACTGTAAAATGTAGTAGAGTTATGTCAGAGGCAGCTGCTAAAAGAATGCAGTGCAGCAACAAACTAACAACCTAAAACTAAAGCACCGCCCTGCCATCACCTGGAAAAAAGACTGTGAGTTGCCCAGTAAATGCCACACCATAAAGAAAATGTAGTCATTAATTTGCTTTTATTTTACAATTAAGCACAAAAGGGAAAGATTGAAAAAAAAAGTATTCTCCTTCCTTTGTAGCAAGTTTAAACATTTAATTTCTGGTAATGACAATAAGTTGGGTGCCAACATGCATCCAAAAAATTACTCACTGCTCCCCTTAGAGAATACTTGTTATAGCCAGAACCACTCAATTATATCACCCAATGGCAGAGGACCATAAAATAAAGAAAAATTACCCTGTCTGCACACAGGAAGAAAATTATATATAGTGTAAGGTTTAATGCCCTTACAGGCTTGTAAGATGAGCTGACTTTATGCTACATTCTGTGTGCTCATGGCCTTCTAAAAAAGCTAACCATTCTTCTCTGCATCAAGCACACCATGAAAATGGGGGCAAATATCACTGAACATTATAAATATTTTGCCATTAGCAAAACTAATGATGCACTATTTATATAGGAAGGCCTCTTACACTGTCTTTCACAAAAATTCAAAAGTGTCTCAAAACCTTCCTCAAAATCCATAATGCACACAGGGAAGGCTAACCTGCCTACATAAAGGCTTACCTGACCCACCTGCAGTGACCCACTTGAGGGGCAAAATACTTGTGCTGAATCCCCCTTCTGAATACAGACAACTTAAAAGGAGCAGGGTCAGGGAAGACTGCAAGCTATTTAAAACTCTTCCTTCTTTGCCTGGTGAAATCCTGGAGACTTTGTGGTCTTCACATTTGGAGATATTCCTAACTTATCCCCCTCACTGAGCAGTGCCCCTCAAGAAGCAGCGACTATGTAGTGTAATAGCTCTGTCAGTTTGAAGTAAGAACTGAGATTTGGACTTGGAAAGGAGCAGTCAGTGTCAGGCATCCTTAGAGTTTAGCTAGAGTCTGGTGGAACCCCTTCCTAAGCCTCCATCTCTGTGTGGTAACCACGAAAACTACAAACCTCTCACTACTGCTGTTCTCCTACATGAAGAACAATTTCTCTCAAAATTGCCAAGCGTTCTTTCTCACCTGCCCATTCCTGGAAAGCCACACAGTTCCAGTGAATACCTTTTGATCCTGGTAACAATGATTTGTTATCAACTTTCTCAAAAAAAAAAAAACCCTGGCATGTTTCTAAGATTACTTCAAGTCCATGACAGTGAATTCTGTTTTTCCCCATCTTAAACATTTTGTGTTCCACTTCAGAAACATGTATTTTTATATATATGGGTAAAGAGGAGCCCTGGAGTCTCTGTCTGATGGGGAAGACCTAAAAATGGAGGCAGATCTCAGCGTTCTCCTTCAGCTCTCCTTTCAGCTTCAAAGAAAGAAAACTATCTCATTCATTTTCTTCACGAGCCCTGCAACTATGTGAAGAGAAAGGAAGAAAACAAAATAATGTTTCCTTTTCCATATAACTGCTATAAGACTCACAAAAAATCTGAAAACAAAGTCAATACATTTTTAAACTAGGTGAAAGAAAGAGTAGTTTAATTTTAAAATTAAAATTAAATTTAAATTTAGTTTAGTTTTAAACTTTTTGCTTCTGAGAGTCAGAAGCAAGACAGTGGGAAAGGAACAGCCGCGACACACAAGCTACAAAATAAGGTGGAACAGTCCAAAACACAAGCAGGCATATTCTAGACAGGGAATTAATTGGCCCACCTTTGAATGAAAAGTATTTCAAATACTTT